AAAGGGCCTTCCGAGCGAAGGAAGCCTTCAGAACCTTGCTGGGCACAAAGGTAATTCCTCCCCTCTGCGTAGCCACACATTGTGTTCCACATTAACTTTTAACTGTAATTACAGATTTTAAAAATTCACGAAAAAATGTTTAGGAAAAAGCTACCAAATAATTCGCTGATTTTTTATTTATTTATTTTACAAACTCCCACTCCAAGTGATTTTTGAAAACCATTTGGGAAGTTTTTTTTATTATTATTTAAAATTTCTATAGCAGTCACTACATTCCAATCGAAGTAGGTGCTTAAGGGGATTTCTTCATAAATGACCAACCATCAGGTGCTTTGGAGAATACAGATAATTATTTGTAAACACACAGAACGATCTAGATGGAAAAACATTTTAATTGGAATGATGTGGCCAGGTCAGTGATGTTGCAGCACACCTATAACCCCGGTGCCGGGGAAATGTAGAATTCAGCATGTCTTTGGGGTTTGCCACGCTTCTCTCCTTCCCACTCGACTCTAGGACAATACCTTATTCATGTTTATATCTTCCAAAGTCCTCAGCTGGATACTTGACACAAAATGTTCCCAAACAGAAAAAATCTTAAATTGCTATCTTGCCTAGTCCAAGTGCACAGAGTTAAAGAAAAGTTTGTAATTATATCAAGTCAGGAAATAGTAACTAATTTGTGAAACAGGTAAAGTTTACATCAAAATGAAGAGAATAAATTATCAGAAGGCTTTGGAAACAATATATGGATCATCAAAACAAGTAGGAATTGTGTGTGTTATTTGGGCTGATGGGATCAACCTAGTTTTATGGCCTAAATTGTAATTCATGTGTTTGAGGAATTTTATCCCTTTGTTTTTCTCAGCAACTTTTATGAAAGCACGTGTTTTCTGTGCCTGCTCCACACTGTAGATAAGGTGTGGGCAGTGTTTTTGTGTAAAGTCCAGATATTAGATTATTAGGCCTTCGGGCCCATAGATTCTTGATGGCTACTACTCAGCTCTGTCCTTGTGGTGCAAAAGCACCCACAGACAATATGTAAATGAGTAGTGGTTTTCCAATAAAACTATTGTGCACACTACAATTTGACTTGCATATAGTTTCACATGACATGAGATATGATTCTTCTTTTGATTTTTGATTTGGCCTGCTGTAGAGCACACACTAAGTCAAGAAAACAATGCCATTATTATGTTAGTAATGATAATTTCCCTTTCGTAAGCTTTCGCCTACTGTAGCTCTTTGAATATGAAGACATCAGTGTAAATTCAGTTAGTTCTATCTCAATAAAGGATCTGTGAAAATAAGTCCAATGTGATAATTTGTGAGCAATCCCAGATGCCTAAGTAACTGACAAAGATTCAGATTTCTAAAGAGTAACTATTACATAATGTACTAATTTGGAAGAAGTCCATTTTAGAACAAACACTAAATTACGAAGAAAGTGTGGTTAAGTATGCTCAATTTGAAAACTGTTGGGCTTATTAGTTATTCCAGGTGGTCCCTCGGTTCAAGACAGTCATCCTGCACAGTTGCCTCAGACTCCGCAGACCCCGGAATTGAGAAAAAAGCACACATCATCTGTTGGTTGGGGACAGTAGTCTAGGAAGGAAATGGCCAGATTGCTCTTGCCCTCTTCTGCTATCCCTAGTCCCAAGGCAAGACGCACTCACATCCTGGCTGTCTACCCTTGAAATGTGCCAGATCAGTGTCCTGTTAGACCACGATGGGAGAGGCCAGCTGTCACTTCTCCCTGTTGGCCCATCTATTCCTCAGACCCACTCAGAAAGGTGAGGCCTAATTGTTGTTGCCTCAACTACCTTCTCTTGCTTTAGGAGGAGGAAAAGTATGACAGATTAGGAGTTAAAACTTTTTATTTTTGACAGGGATTGTTAACTAGTAAGAATTTTCTCTGAATCATAAAGACAAAATAATATATGTTAAACTAAAACATGTTCAATATCTAAACCTAAACATATTTAGTATTTACTTCTCTTTTTCGCAAGAGGTATAACCACAACAGTATCCTTTTGGTCATTCTCCATATATCAGTGAATTAAAGCAATAATTAAATAATAAATAAATAAGCATCTATTTATTTTAGTTAAAAGTATCCATAGATCCACTGAGGGTTAGTAAGAGTTTAACTTAGGAAAACTGGTTCTAAAAGAACATGGCATATATAATACTCTTTGTAATACTTTAAGCAATAAAACAATTTAAAAAAATAATAAACATCTATTTATTTTAGTTAAAAGTATCCATAGATCCACTGAGGGTTAGTAAGAGTTTAACTTAGGAAAACAGGAAAACAAAGAACATGGCATATATAATACTCTTTGTAATACTTTAAGCAATAAAACAATTTAAAAAAATAATAAATAAATAAATAAAATAAAAAATAAATACAGCCAATGGACATAAGACACTGGGGGATAGGGGAAGCTGGGGGAATGTCAAGAAGGGGGAAAAAAGGAGACATATATAATACTCTTTGTAATGCTTTAAGCAATAAAACAAAATTTAAAAAAATAATAAAAAATAAATAAATACAGTTCCTCAAAAAAAAAAAAAGAACATGGAAGATCACAAAACTATTGGCACAAACTTGTTTATTTGTTCATTTGTTTATTCAGTTGTTATGTGTAAATGATCCACTCTATGCCAGATGTTGAGGCCAGTGGAAATATAGGAAAACTAAGACATAGTCTTTGTCCTCAAAGAAACAAAGAAGACGGAGCACCAGTATGGACTGGGGAGTGACTTAATGGAAGTAAACACAGGGTTCTGGGTGGCTGGCAAGGGGCATCTAACCAGACTGCAGCTTGGATATGCATGGTATAAAATTTCTTGGAGACCTCATAAAAATTGGGGGAAATTATTACTACTTTAAAAAAACGTACTCTAAACTAATTGTTCTATTTTGAAACCTAGTGTCTGAAGAGCAATTTTCCATCCAAATTTGATGATCCTATAATGGTTCCTCTTCAAGAATTTGCATGGGATCAATATCTACAGAAGAAGAAAAGGGTAAAGGATATCCGGGGTGGGGGAAATGAGCAAAGTTTTCCCTGAAGTATTTTTATGCATTGTTTTGGAAAAACTGAAGTGGTAATTTTAGTGCAACTAACTTTTATTTCTCTAAATCATGCACTTTTCCTAAATCATTTCATTCATTTACCAGGCTGATTTTAAGAAAAAGTAAAATATTTACAGGATTTTCTTTAGGAAGGCATGTGATAAAGGTAAGTTTTAAACTCTCAATGCTGCTATTTACCCCTCTTTGCCTGCACATCGCTCACTCACACTTCCTCTGACACCCTGATGCTCAGGTGTTACGGCCTGGCACTCTTCTCTCTGGAAGGTTTTGGTTTTGGATCACAGATATAATGAGGGGCTTGTGTTGCTTAGGGGAACTCTGATGACAGGCACCAGGTTCCCACAGGGTCGCCTTGTGCTAACTGAAGTTTCCTTCTCCGCCTCTCCTCCCCAGCAGTACAGTTGGTGAATCCCAGGGCTAGCAGAGAGGGCAGATAGGTTTTCTCTTGGGTGCCAACCCTGGTAAGTTGTAGTGCTGCCTGGAGGATGTGATGCGGATTCTAAGGTGGCATCCTAGCTCAGCAATGTCTCATTTTGCGCAATGGTGGGGGCTGGAATGGTGTATGCACCTTGCTTGACACCCCTGGCCCAGTCCCGTAGAGACTCCCAGTCCTGGTTTCCCTGCCCCACCCGATCTGGCCAGTGGCTGATGAAATCCCATGCCCCCTGACCAGATCAGTTTCGATTGTTCTGTGCTTGATTGCACAAGGAAGTCCTGTGACCCTGTGATTATCATGCAGATAGTGTTGCTTTACCGGACACCACTTCACTCTCCAGTCACAGGAATGGTACAGAACGGAGTCAAGAATACCACTCGTTTAAGTCTCATGCCATTTTCATAGCCATAATACCTTTGCATTGGCATTCAAATAGAATCATAGCAAACACTTACAAATGGTGCTCATTATATGCCAGACACTATTCTAATAGCTTCTACATATATTAACTCTAATCCTGACACCAACCAGGGTGGCCGATGGCCCTGGTTTACCTGGGACGGAGGAGTTTCCTGGGATACAGAAATTTTAATGCCAAAGCTGAGTCAGTCTTGGGCAAACCAGGACTGTTGGGCACCCTAACATAAAACAATGTTTTTCTTTTTTAAAAATTTTTTTATTAATCTCAGAGAGGAAGGAAGAGGAAGAGAGAGATAGAAACATCAATGATGAGAGAGAATCATTGATTGGCTGCCTCCTGCACACTCCCCACTGGGGATTGAGCCCGCAGCCTGGGCATGTGCCCTTGACCGGAATTGAACCTGGGACCCTTTAGTCCGCAGGTCGATACTCTATCCATTGAGCCAAACCAGCTAGGGCAAACAATGTTTTTCTTAATTTTTATCATCAGACTTACTATACTGTGTACCAACCAGCATCACGCTCTGCACCTCCAGGAACCATGATCTTGGGTTTTACTTGCACCTGCTCCTCTGATATTTTCCCACTATACTCTTCAAAGAGTATTTTCTTGCCCTTTTCAGCCTGGGTTGTTGACCTTGAAATGTTTTGTGTTCTCTTCCTCCTGCGTTTCTCATGAGGCCTGAATGAGGCTTTCTAGATAATCATTGCTGCTGCTTTCCTATTCTTTATTCCTTATTCTTCCTTTCTTCCTTCTCTAACCCTCCTCTCCTGGATAATTATCACTTTACCCTTCTCTTCCTTTTCAGACCAGTATTTTGTCCTTCAGTGTAAGTGTTGTGTCACGTGTCAGCTGTAGTGCTGCTTAGCACATTTGCGGTTAGGTCCAGGCTGGCCTTGGTCTTCAGCAGAATGTGTTGCACACCCGAGGGATGGCTTCAGGGCTCTTGAAATGCCTTTCTCTCCTCTCCAGAAAGGCAGTGTCATGCACCTAGTACTGGAAAGCCCCAGAAACCATCAGGTTCAGTCACTATCCTGAGGCAGGCGAGGACTCCTCATGTACAGAAGACAGAGTTGAGGCCTTATGTCTTCAGCCTCTGAGTAAAGTGTATCTCCTACTGTATGTCTCCCGTGAAGCGAACTAAAATATCCACAGTTAAACTTTTTCTCCCCTTTTCCCAGTTTTGTGTCCTGTGAAATGTGATAACATTGGTCAAGTTAAGCAGTCTGGGTAGTATTGACCCGTAAGCTCTATCAGTGATTTACAGTTCAGCATGAACAAGTGTATTGTCTTTCTTTTTTTCAAAAATATATTTTTATTGATTTCAGAGAGGAAGGGAGAGGGGGAGAGAGAAACATCAATGATGAGAGAGAATCATTGATTGGCTGCCTCCTGCACGCCCCACATTGGGGATCAAGCCCGAAACCTGGGCATGTCCCTGGCCAGGAATCGAACAGTGACCTTCTGGTTCATAGGTTGACACTCAACCACTGAATCAAGCAGGCTGGACTCTATTCTCTTTCTTGAACAGGTTTTGATAAGGGCACGGGAAGTGACAGCTGAATAAGAAATCTCGAGAGGAGCTGAAATGGAACGAGTTAGCAAACTGAAGGCAGGCTGTTCCCTAAACCAGCATTTCTCTAAGTGTGGTCTCCAGACCAGCTGCATTGGCATCTCCTGGGATGTTCTTAGAAATGCAAATTCTCAGGCCCCACCCCAGAATCAGAAACTCAGGTGGGGCCTTGGGAATTTGTAATTTTGATTGCCCGCTAAAATTAGAGAACAGCCGTCCCAAATTAGACATGGTTCTGACAATGTGACATAACGTGGGAATAGTAAACCAGAATCCTCCGAGGGGACACAACTGGGATTATTAGGAGGTTGACTGGGAGTGTCGTGTGGATGAAAACGCACTTAGTACTTGAAAGTGCTGATGCAGGTGAGTCCTCTTCCTCACTTCCCCTCGGGTGCCCAGAAGTTCCTGTTGGCCCTCACCCTGACCCCACCTCCATGAATAAAGCATTCTTCCCATGCTTTGCACTGAAAACCAGGTCTTAGGACCCCTGACCTTCCCATATATGCACACTCCATGTATGCACACAGTCAGATGTGCTTCAGAAATGACACTACAGCCCTGGCTGGCGTGGTTCAATGGTTGGAGCATCGGCTGAAGGGTCTCGGATTCCATTCCAAGTTAAGGGCTCCTAACAGGGTTACAGGCTCACACCTGGGTTGTGGGTTCGCTCCCCACTCCCATCGTGGCATATGTGGTCAATGTTGCCCTCTCCTCCCTTCCACTCTCTCTGAAAAGCACTGGAAATAATATCCTCAGGTGAGAATTAACCAAAAATAAAAAAACGAAATGACACCACAGATTGCCTTTCGTTTCAAGTTACTGTAACAAGTTTGCTACACACAGATTTTTATTACCAGGTCACCATCTATTTTCTATGATTATATCATTTTTAAGATTATTTCTGCCCCCTCCTCCCTTCCACTCTCTCTGAAAAGCACTGGAAAAAATATCCTCAGGTGAGAATTAACCAAAAATAAAAAAACGAAATGACACCACAGATTGCCTTTCGTTTCAAGTTACTGTAACAAGTTTGCTACACACAGATTTTTATTACCAGGTCACCATCTATTTTCTATGATTATATCATTTTTAAGATTATTTTTAGGTCATTCTTTGCTTTAAGTGATGTCAGAGTCTTGAACAATGTTCTTAAATTCTTGCTGAGAGCAAAATTCTGAGAGGTGGCAAAAAATATATATTTTAGAGATTTAGACCTAGAACTGAATTCAAGATCTGGCTTGTGGATTTAGCATGTGCTTATTGTTGTTGTTTTCTTTCTTTGTTACATTTTTTTTTCCTTTACAGGAACTTAAGAATGAAGTCTGGGAATATTCTTCCAATGTCATGTGTTTTATTAATGATCTGCTGCTGGGTGATGCACTTGAACTTCAGAAATGGGCCCACAAGGTGTGGGATATGATAGACTTTAAGCCTCCTGCACTTTATGAGGCACTTACTATGGATTTTTCTACTAAATTCTTAAGCGACACCAAGGCAAGTTACACTGACTTTTAAAGAAAAAGAGTGGAATCTTGGATGATTTATGTTGACTCAGCATTAATTACTGATATCCTAATGAAGGGAATATAAAAGAGTAGGAGACCAGGTTTGCAAAGGATTATAATGTGGCAGGGTTTGGCAGCCAGGAGTATCTCCATTCAGACATTCCCACTCCCCTTAGAGCAGCGGTTCTCAACCTGTGGGTCGCGACCACCGGAAAACACATATAGCATATCAGATACTTACATTACGATTCATAACAGTAGCAAAATTACAGTTACGAAGTAGCAACGAAAATAATTTTATGGTTGGGGGTCACCACAACATGAGGAACTGTATTAAAGGGTCGCAGCATTAGGAAGGTTGAGAACCACTACTAGAGGTTTATAGACATTATCATTTGTGTTAAAGTATAAAGACTCGCCCTCAAAGAAGGTCAAACCTATCGCTCACTCACCTTCAGTGTGGGACATTTTAATTAGTACTAACACCTAAGTGACAGTTACTGCACCAGGAGAATGGGAAGTTTGGGAAGGAAGGTGACATTTTAAAGCATGACACACGGCTGGTGAGAGCAGGATGCCGTGTCACTGGGGTTTCTACGGCAGAGGACAGTCATGACGTCTGAGGTCCAGAGAGTGAGGGACAGACGTCAGGATTGGATGACAATAGGGATAAAAGTACTCTGTAATTTTGCTCACAAAGTTTGTAGCAACAACTATACCACATGCTGAAGATTACTTCATGCTCCTGGTGGCCTGGGCCTACAGAAAGATCCAGTGCCTTTCTTTCAGAGCTGTGCAAGGGCAAAGACCAGTATCTTGCATCCCTGTTTAACCACTGCATGGAACGGAATTTGAAACATAGTAGGTGGTCCATGAATGTTTGGTTGAATAAACAATGCACTTGGAAAATGTAGAAACTATGGGGTGCAAGGCGGCACTTAATGTGCATAGCAGTTAAATCCCAAAGGGATAGGAGTTTAGAAGTACATGGTGTGCTCTGGGAATAACGGACGGCAAGGAGACCAGAATTACTGGGGAAACGCGGCTGGAAGAAAGAGAGTATCAGTCACGATTCTCGATGTCATCTATACTAAGCTACTCTGATTAATTTAGATTAAGGAGAAAGGGTATGTATTTAAGGGATATTGGTAACCTCACAAGTGACAGGTAAGCTGAGAACCTGCTTTGGAAAGCAGGTAGGGACCAAAGGAAGCCTGGCCACAGGAGAAAATGGCCAGAGTCACCCTCCCAGGAATATGCAGCCAAGGACTGCCATGGGTGCCCGCTGGCCTGGGTTCAAATTCTCACCTTCCCTAAGAATAACTTCTCGCTGCCCTTGTGTCTTTGCGCAGGCAGGAGCACCTACCTAACTAGTGGAGCCCGGGTCATATCCCTGCACCCTGGCTCTCACAGGATGGGAAGAGGGAGAATCTGGCCCCTTCAGGGTTTGTGGAGGGTGGCCGGGCCCTGTGGGGAATTCCCCAAATAGGAAAGGTCTTCAGCTGTTAAATAGGAAGAAAAAAACGAAAAACCAACAAACGAACGGATCCACGGGAGAAAGGTTGAACTTACCATCCATTCTGAATCAAGAAGGAACTTTTCATAAAGAGTATGACACAGTCCTTTGCTTTTCTGGAAAAACTTTTAGGGCTGTGCAGAAACAGGCCTGGCGGCAGGGCAGCCTTCTGGAAAGCTGCTATAGCAGCATGGGCTAGAGGTAAAGACAGCTTCCATTAACTAGTGGCAGTGAGGGGAGGGGACCTACGTTCCAGAGAAGATCCTTAGGTTTTTGTGGGGTTTTTTTCCCCAAATGGTAGATTTTTCTTGCTGAGTAAAACCCAGGGACTTGTTTACCTTTGAGTTGGATTGATGTGCTACATAATTATATTTGTGTGTTTGGCTGCTAGGTAACATTATCTTGTATTGCCTTCCTTTTACTCTCTTTTCATTAGAATTTTCACAATTACCTGCTCTTGACAACCCCAGAAAAATAAGATATTATTGCACAGGGAATCATGATTTTCAGTAGATCCTTCTTTTTCCTCTAAGCCTGTGAAGTTGACTATGTTATGCCTCTTATTCTATTCTTTTTAATTTGTTTTATTTTTATGCCTCTTATTCTAAAGTGATAATATTCTTTTATAATCAAGAAATTGTAGTACAGAAGCTGAGAGGCACAAATCCTATGTAATAAAGAGCTAATATGCTAATTAGACCGAACAGCAGAATGACCGTCCAGACGAACTTCTGGACAACCATACAGACAAAGCCAGGCCTGTTAGGACCGAGACAGCCTCAGCCTTGCAGTTAAATCCCATCGGGTCTCTTGTTAATTAAAATTAGTAGGGATGCTGGAATACACATTAATCTTTCAATTAAAAAGATTATTTAAAAGACCGGTGTGGCTCAGCAGTTGAGCCTCGACCTATGAACCTGGAGGTATTGGTTCTATTCCCAGGGAGAATCTGGCCCCTTCAGGGTTTGTGGAGGGTGGCCGGGCCCTGTGGGGAATTCCCCAAATAGGAAAGGTCTTCAGCTGTTAAATAGGAAGAAAAAAACGAAAAACCAACAAACGAACGGATCCACGGGAGAAAGGTTGAACTTACCATCCATTCTGAATCAAGAAGGAACTTTTCATAAAGAGTATGACACAGTCCTTTGCTTTTCTGGAAAAACTTTTAGGGCTGTGCAGAAACAGGCCTGGCGGCAGGGCAGCCTTCTGGAAAGCTGCTATAGCAGCATGGGCTAGAGGTAAAGACAGCTTCCATTAACTAGTGGCAGTGAGGGGAGGGGACCTACGTTCCAGAGAAGATCCTTAGGTTTTTGTGGGGTTTTTTTCCCCAAATGGTAGATTTTTCTTGCTGAGTAAAACCCAGGGACTTGTTTACCTTTGAGTTGGATTGATGTGCTACATAATTATATTTGTGTGTTTGGCTGCTAGGTAACATTATCTTGTATTGCCTTCCTTTTACTCTCTTTTCATTAGAATTTTCACAATTACCTGCTCTTGACAACCCCAGAAAAATAAGATATTATTGCACAGGGAATCATGATTTTCAGTAGATCCTTCTTTTTCCTCTAAGCCTGTGAAGTTGACTATGTTATGCCTCTTATTCTATTCTTTTTAATTTGTTTTATTTTTATGCCTCTTATTCTAAAGTGATAATATTCTTTTATAATCAAGAAATTGTAGTACAGAAGCTGAGAGGCACAAATCCTATGTAATAAAGAGCTAATATGCTAATTAGACCGAACAGCAGAATGACCGTCCAGACGAACTTCTGGACAACCATACAGACAAAGCCAGGCCTGTTAGGACCGAGACAGCCTCAGCCTTGCAGTTAAATCCCATCGGGTCTCTTGTTAATTAAAATTAGTAGGGATGCTGGAATACACATTAATCTTTCAATTAAAAAGATTATTTAAAAGACCGGTGTGGCTCAGCAGTTGAGCCTCGACCTATGAACCTGGAGGTATTGGTTCTATTCCCGGTCAGGGCATGTGCCCAGTTGCAGGCTCGATCCCCAGTGGGGGACATGCGGGAGGTGGTTGATCAATGATTCTCACATCATTGATGTTTCTAGCTCTTTCTCAAATCAATAATAAAAAAGGTTAAAGTGACATAAAATTAATGATATTGACGATTTCATTTATGTTTCCCAGATTCTTAAGAAATAGGGCACGGCAAATTATGTACCTTTTAAATCAGGTGGCGTTTTATGTATGAGAATGGTGTCTAATATTCAAAATGTGTTCCATTAGATGTGCTCTGCTCCCTAAATGAATGCCACCGTGATGGAGACTAGTGCTTTCATGTTGGATGCCTTTCGGTGGGGCTAGACATCTCACAAATGTTAGTTGTCTCTACTGGAAAGGATGGCAATTGAAAGCGAGCTGGGAGCCTCTGGGAACGTGAGGACATGATTACACAGCATCAAAAGCACAGCACCCCTCTCCTAATCCCTGGAATCACATCTCCTATGGATTTAGGGGCCTTATTTTCCCTCTCAGAAAGGCTGGCCTGGCTTTGGTTAGCTAAGCTGAGCTGCCTCTGAAAATCCAGAACACATGGTAACCAAATCCATGGCACTCACACTGGCTTTTTTCCCAGAATTAGGAAAGAAAAGAATTACCAGTCTCTTTCTTTTCTCAAAGGGACTGACTGTCCTTTCCACAATTAGTTTGTGATGTAGAGGCTACCTAAGCCATGTCTTCTTGGTTTTGTTGATGGGTTAATGTTGCTGAAAGGTTTTAAAAAGTGTGTTATTTAGGTTGTAAAGACTTGATATAATAAAATGAAACAAAACTCCTTAAATGATTCTTTTAATTTTGTTGTTACATTCTCCACTGCGAATTAACATCTTATCAATAAAAACATTGTTTTGTTTTTGTCATTTTTAAAATTTTCTTCCAAGATATTGACCTGAATTATCCTTTTCTCCTGAATTTTAATAGCATAATTTTGTGTTCTTGGATATTTCTATTGGTCTTCATCCAATTGGAAGATTGGTTTTTGAGGTAAGAGGTTTTGTTGTTGTTGTTTGTTAGTAAGTTGGGGGGAGTGGAAATATGTAACTGTCAAAATGTTAAATATTTAATCTTTTAAATCTTTAATTTTATTTTGTAGCTATACTGTGAGACATGTCCCAAAACATGTAAAAATTTTCAGGTCTTGTGCACAGGAAAAGCAGGGTTTTCTCAAAGTGGCATCAAGCTACATTATGTCGGTTCGATTTTTCATCGAATAGTAAAGAATGCTTGGGTACAAGGAGGAGGTAAGTTTACAAACTTAATTGCAACATCAAATCAGAATGTCCAAAATTTTACTTACTTTTGTAAAATGCATATAGGATTAGATATATTTAATATCAGATGTTTGTGGGAACCCTAATCAGAGTACACCAGATGTTCAAGGCCAATTTGCCATGTGCATGTACAAAAGCAAGGACACAGCGGTTTTACTGTATGTGCTGTGAAGGTGTACCTTTCTATAATGCAAACATTGATGTCACTATTTAGCAAGAAGCCTCTTTTGCCTAAGTTGGTATAAAGATACTAGAGGCCCAGTGCACGAATTCGTGCACCGGTGGAATTCCTTGGCCTGGCCTGCAGGGATCAGGCCGAAACCAGCTCTCCAACATCCCCCGAGGGATCCTGGATTGCAAGAGGGCAAGCCAGGCTGAGGGACTCCACCAGTACATGATCAGGCCGGGGAGGGACTGCAGGAGGGCTCCAGGGCGTGTCCGGCCCGTCTTGCCCAGTCCCAGTTGGCCGGACCCCAGCAGGAAGCTAACCCACTGGTCGGAGCGTCTGCTCCCTGGTAGGTAGTGCACATCATAGTGGATGGTCAAACGGTCGGACACTTAGCATATTAGGCCTTTATTACATAGGATGTTACTGACCAGACAGTACATGGCTGCTTTGCACAGCTGCTTTGAAGAACTGCTTTGTCTGATGGCTCCTTAGCAGCAATGGCTACTTGGTCTGCAATAAAGTCTCTCTTATATGCCTATGACTTCTCATATCTTCTCCATCTAATACCCAGCATCTGGGGACCTGTACACCCCACAGTTGGCATAGTTGAGCAGAACCAAGGAGTAAGTGCTCCAACAATGTTGTATATATTTAAAGGATGGTTTTCATATGGCCAAATGATGAATTCAGATATTCATACTCTTTAAAAATTCCCTAATTATTAAAATAAATCTAAAGTATGTTATCAGGAACATTCTAAAATAACAAGTCATATAAGAAAGTAGGAAAACATTTTTAATCAAAATGTAGTTTTAAATGCTCACCTAAATAAATTAGAGTACTTAGAAAATACAAAGCTTTTAAGAAACATACTAAAGGTGGACATTTGAAAATAGAATAAATGGAAAACAACTTATTTTTCACCAAAGATGTTACATTATTACAACTGAAAAGTAAGATCTAGAGCATTTTGGTTTCCTGTTTGGTTCTTTTCAGGTCAGTCCTTTGGCTTTACAGACTAAGTGCCTGGTTAACAGCACAAAATTAAATTTGGGAAGCTTTTGGGGAAATATCCCAGAGGGAGAAATTAGTCAGCAATCTATATATATAACAGCCTAAGTGACTGGTCAACCGGTAGCTATGACATGCAATGACCACCAGGGGGCAGATGCTCAACACACAGGCATAGAAACATGGAACAGACTGATGAATCTCAGGGGGGAGGGGGGAGAGAAGAGGGGGAAAAGAGATTAACCAAAGATCTTATATGCATACTAGAGGACTGGTGCACCAATTTGTGCACCAGTGGGGTCCCTCGACCTGGCCTGTGGGGATTGGGCCGAAACTGGCAGTGCGACATCCCCGAGGGGTCCCGGATTGTGAGAGGGTGCAGTAAATATATATTTAAAAATATTTAAATCAAAATTTCACAGAGCGTCCTGTTCCGCTGCTTTTCTGTAGTGTTCACAAGGTTGGTGGCTTGCTTTCTGAGATTTCCTGGCTCTGTTCCCCTCCTTATCTTTGCTCTGGACTTTCCCTAGCCTTCAGTGCAGGGGTCCTCAAACTACGGCCCGCGGGCCACATGCGGCCCTCCGAAAACATTTATCCGGC